CAAAATCCCGGGGAGAATAATATCGGCCAAAAGGGAGACGCACCGAAGAAAGTAGGCCGAGATAAGTACTACCGTAAAAGCAACATTCAGGTATGGAAGGACAGATGTTGGAGAAAAAATGAGAAAATTGAAAGACATGGCAAATAAATTAACAGATCTACAAACAGTGGTCAACCTCATGATGCAGAACAACGTGATGCAACCGACATCCCTATTACAAGACATGCCGGCACTAGTAACCAAAACTGGTGCCCAGAAAACAAGATCTCGGTCTAGATGAGTAGGTCCAAAAAGACAAGAGCTCAGCCTAAGTGAACAGATCCCGGATTCCAGATCCCGAATCCCAGATCCTAGAAAACAAGATCTCGGCCTAGATGAGTAGGTCCGAGGAGACAAGAGCTCAGTCTAAGTGAGCAAATCCCGGATCCCGGATCCCAGATCCTAGAAGACAAGATCTCATCCTAGAAGATTAGGTCCGAGAAGACAAGAGCTCAACCTAAGTGAGCAGATCCCGAATTTTAGATCTCGAATCCCGGATTCCAGTACTTGACGATGTTTCTAAGCGAAACATGACAAATAACTTAGACTTATTATATGACAGAGTTGAATTATACTTGCATATAATAGAGTTGAACTAAGTTGGAGATGTTTCTAAGCGAAACATGACGAATAACTTAGACTTATTATATGGCATAGTTGAATTATACTTGCATATAATAAAGTTGAACTAAGTTGGCGATGTTTCTAAGCGAAACATGACGAATAATTTAGACTCATTATATGGCAGAGTTGAATTATACTTGCATATAATAGAGTTGAACTAAGTTGACAATATTTCTAATTGAAACATGACGAATAAACTTAGACTTATTATATGGCAAAGTTCCTACTTGCATATAATAGAGTTGAACTAAGTTAAATCAACTTGAACTTGCCATATCGGCAGAGTTAGACACATATTGGAATTAGATGCATATCAGTCAGATTAACAAAAAGACCAAGGTTGGTAACCTCGGCCAGTCTTTGTTTGAATCTGACATCGACGACAAGGTTAAAGCCACATGCTTAATGAGAACTCAAGTGAAACTTAAGTTCACATTAGGGGGGCAGAGGGCTAGAGAATGATGCTTGAGAGTTAAAATTTACAAGCTAAGATTGGTTTAACACTTGTTGAAATTTTAAGAAAAATTTATAAGTTGAAGTTAAGCCGAGGTTATGTCAAAGGAAGATTGGTTTAACACTTGTTAAAATTTTAAGAAAAATTTACAAGTTGAAATTAAACCGAGGTTATGTCAAAGGAAGATTGGTTTAACACTTGTTGAAATTTTAAGAAAAATTTACAAATTGAAGTTAAGCTGAGGTTATGTTAAAGGAAGTTGGTTTAACACTTGTTGAAATTTTAAGAAAAGTTTACAAATTGAAGTTAACCCAAGGTTATGTTAAAATAATAGAAGACAGAGGTCTTGATAAGTAAAGAGTGAAGTGGCAAGTTGTAAATAACACTTGTGAAAATATTATGATAAATATTTTTAAGTGTTAGGTCAAAGTTGAGATAAAACTGCTAGTGGGTATAGCCGAAGTATTCCGCACCGAGAAGATTACACAGTTAAGGTGTACATTGAAGACATGCAAAATATTCTAAGTATGAAAACATGCAAAGCATAGAAGAAAAACGGTAAGCATACATGATGAAAGCAATATTCAACACTTAGAAGAAAATAGAAGGCTTGGATTGAAAAGGGATAGCTTGTTCAAATACATAAACAAGCACATCGGTCTGACAAAACAGATACTGTTCAAAACAGAGAAGAAAATTATAAAGAAAAAGGTACAATGGAAAGAAAAATTCCTAAGTACTAGGATCTTGTGCATTAATCTCAGACTATTCAACCTCGGCTGTTGGCATTGTTTCGTTCTCGGCAGACAGCTAGGCAGACTTCTCGGCTGTGATTTCGGCATCGATTTCTAGAAGAGTCTGGTCCAGGCTTTTTGCAGCGGCAGTGATCTCGGTTTCAGAAGTGTCGACCTTCTTTGGTGAGGTATTCTTGAAGACCTCATCCTCGTCCTCCCCAATCAAGTCCAGGACTTGATCATTTAGAGTAGAGGACTTGGCCCCAACAACAGAGTAGGGGACTTGACCTCAGCAACAGCTTTAGATTCTTTCTCGGCAACCTCAGCCTTGGCCTCTTCCTTGTCTCTGGCCTCCTCATCGTCAGCTTCTTCTACTTCATTGGCCTCATCCTCAGATTGATTGTGAGAGGAAGGAAAAGGGACATTGAGCTGACCCATATCACGGAGGGGAGAGTTCTCAGGGACAAACATCTTTTTGAGGGCTGTCATCCAGTCAAGATAGTAGCCTTTGTTGCAGGGCATGTTGACTTGTTCTTTCAGCCTTAACAATGGCCTCGGCTTTGGCAATAATAACTTGGTCCACTTGCTTCATGTGCTTCTCTTTTGAGATATTGAGTTGCTGAAGGCATGAGTATGTCAGATTGACTATAAGGAGATGGAGTGGATTGCACAGTTATGACATCAGGGATGTCAACAAGAAGGTCTTTTACGACAAGAGTTCGGCGAGACATGTCGTCGTTGGTTACGACGATGGTTACTCACAGATAAGGCGATTGAAAAATTATCAAAGTCTAAGGCTGGAAGCTTAGGACCTCGGTGTTTCCTGTTCCTGGTTCTAGCTGCAAGATTGTCGCTATGTCGATGTTTGCACTGCCATTGAAATGATGGGTTGATACATGGAGCAGTGATGATGAAGTGCTTGGCTGCTAGTCTGGTTCAGCTAATAGAGTTTGAACCTGGGGCATGAATGGATTATTCATGGCAATGAATGCTTCAAGAACAACGATGATGGTTTACAGAGGCAAAAAGAGAGAGTCTGGGGACACAGATAGAGGCAAAATAAAAAAGATGGCAAAAAGTTATGATTTCGAGTCCTTAAGCGACGTACTCGTGTTGATGTTAGACGACTGGGGGCAAAACTGATGTAACACGATGGAGACATGATTAGTATGCTCCAATATGATGATGATCTTGATTGAGAAGTGCGATCTCAGTTGAGATGATCTCGGTAGAGGTGATGATCTCGGTTAAGATGATGATCTCGGTTGACATGATGATTTCAGTTGAGATGTTGAATTTGGATGGGAGCAGAATCTCGGTTGACATGATGATTTCAGTTGAGATGTTGAATTTGGATGGGAGCAGAACTTGTTTATTCTTGGTTTCTTATGAGATGATACTAAGATCTTGATGTTCTTGAACTAGCAAGTCATGATGGTTCTTGATTCTTGATTCTTGACGAGTGGACATATGAGTCCTTATTTCTTGGTGTCGACAAGTCACGATCTCGGTCGGAGGAGTACATGTATAGGTTTCATCACCTCAGTTTGCCGAGGTAATAGAACCTAGGGGGCAGTTGTGGGGACATATTTTTGGGTAGTCCACGTGGCCGAGGTTGTTAGCTGAAGTGCCACGTGGACGGACCATGATGCCGACATATGGTGCGATGATACTGGAATCTGAGATATTTGGATAGAGAACTAGAGTCCTAGATTGGGAGATAACTTCAATTTGGATAAATATAAGACTCTTAGAGAGTTAATCCCAATCCTACTGGGAGTCCAAGATTAGCAGTAATCCAGAGTCCATTGAAGCAAGGCTTCTATTGGGACTAGGTTTGTGTTAGCTATAAAAGGGAGGCACCCTCATGAGTCTAAGGTATGCTTTTTATGCTCTGTCTAGTGAGTTAAGCACTATTGGTTATCTTTGAGAGATATTTTACTGACTTGATCGTTGGAGTGCCCCCTGGTGGACGAACCACCGCGGGATTCTTATATTTCTGTGACAAGTTGTTCGGGCTTAATCTATTCTGCCAGTGCTCTCCAGCTGAGTTCTCATTTTTGGTTGTGTGGTCGGAAATCAATACCTACAAATACTATAGAAATAATTTCTAATAGGATGAAGAATTTTTTTTGACAGAAACTAAAAGGAGAATGTAAGATAAGAGAATATGAGATATATGTTTTTTTATACTAAAAGGTCATTTTATTTATGAAATAAGATATATATATTTTTAAAAGTACTATAGTAAACAAAATTTTTCACAGAAACAGGGGGTTATGTTCCTCATAATTTTCTCCTATTTCTATCTCTGACCACCAGAAGTGGTAATAGGGTGGAAATATGCCTTCTTTCCACACAGTTGGGCAAGGCTCGACTCTTGAGAACGTGACTAACGGTCAATTTTTTAAACAGTAAAACCAATTGCGCTGTGTTCTAATCGTGACTTTACTTTCTGTGCTAAAAATAAGTGCATTCATCAATAGTAGATCCCTTTCTTTAAATTAGATTAAATCTGATGAATAACTAATCATTTCAAAATCAAAATCTACAGATATTATGATATCCTCACATGGGGTCAATGTTTTAATCAACAATGATAGAGACCACTAATTTTAGAGCTCTAAAAAGACCACTAATGACATGACACTCAATAAAAAAAGAAAAAAAATACAACACCAAGGCCAAAACATCAAATCATTCCTGGTGAAGCCCACTGTCACATCATTAGTGATAGCACTAATTAGTGCTCTCACTCATTTTCCATGTTTTAATATCGCAAAGAAAAAAATAGTGGGCTTGTTTGGTTTGTTTTTGGTAGAGTAGTTTTTGAAAATTATTTTAGGAAGAGAGTTTAGAAATTTTTTTGGTTTGTTTGGTTGTGTATTTTGAAAGTAATTTTGGAGTTTGGGAGTTTGTAATGATTTGATATTTTGTTATAATTGAGTAGATGTGTATGAGAGAAAAAATGATTGAAAATGAGAGATGAGAGAAAAAAAGTGATTGATTGATAGGTAAGAGAAAAAAAATAATTTTAAAAATGATTTTAAAAAATTTACAAATCAAATAAATTTTTTTTTCCAAAATCAATCTAGAAATTCAAACCAGTATGTTCATGAATTGCGTTCGGAAACGAGGGCACATTCAAACTATCTTGTTAATATCTTACCTCCAATCTGTAAGGTTTTTTTTGTCGTCTTTCTTTAAATTTGTCAAAGATTTTTTTATATTCTGGTCAGCACTTTCAACTAGCTCAGAAGAGTCGGACTCGTTCCAATCCACAAGCCCCAAGTTTCTCTACTTCTTTGGCTCAGCTCTCCCTCAGGAATCGATCAAACAAACTTCCAAATCACTCCCCAACCCCCTCTTCTCTCTCTCCTCTGTCTTATGGGTTGGTTATGGTCGTTTGTGCTTCTCCCTCTTCTGTTCCATGTCCCCACATCTCTATCCTCACTCACTTCCGATCTCTTCGACAGTTGGTGCAAAAACCATGGAAAGACATACTCTTCCGAGCAAGAAAAGCTTTACAGACTCAAAGTGTTCCAAGAAAACTATGACTTTGTTTCCCATCACAATACCATGCCCAATTCCACTTATACCCTCTCACTCAACGCCTTTGCTGATCTTACCCACCATGAATTCAAGGCCTCTCGCTTGGGTCTCTCCTCCAGTGATTTGAGTACATTCAATTTCAAGCCATCAATTGATGAGTCCAGTGATGTTCTTTTCGACGTGCCTTCTTCGGTAGATTGGAGGAAGAGTGGGGTTGTCACGGGTGTCAAAGATCAGGGCAGTTGTGGTATCTGAGTATTTCTCTAATCTTGAATTTCTTTGCTTTTTTTCATTGCTATATAAAAATGTGTATGTGTGCATGATCTGATTTGAATACCAATACCCATATGAAATTTTGTGATTTATTTTAAGAGGAAACACATTTTGACTCTCATCAATTAAGCATCAAACAGTTTCCATTGCATTCATAAAACCTAACTTTTTTGCGGTCTTTTCTTTTCGTGAGGTAAAGTACACTTTGCTCCCTTGAGTTCCAATGAGAACGAAGATTATGCAGAGCTTACAGGGAGAAGAGAGAAAGAGGTTGGAATTTGGGTTTTGGGTTTGGGTCTAAATATGTATAATAATGTATACTTGTGTAATTTTGAACTGCCCTTGGTTGTTGAAGCATTAGGGGCTAAAGTGGGGGAAAGGCCAAAGTAAGAAAACATTTAGAACTTTTAAGGGAGCCAGGGTTTTGTGTGTGTAGATTTATGTGTGGTTTGACAAATGTAGCTTTGCTGATGCCCCAGATGAAAGAGAACTGAACAACTCTCTGCATCTTTTCGTTTACAGTGGCAAACATATGTGTTTGATAAATGGGTTAAAAGGGATTTGGAAATGCATAATGACAAAAATATTAAGGGTCCATCATTTAGATATCTATTTTAAGATTATTATGATTCTATGCTAGCATCGGATTACTGACTTGATGTGGTGGCAGAAACACAAAGCCTATGTTTGGGAAGTTGGGTTTGAAGATTTTTTTGATTAAAATAGTCACAAAAAATAAAATAAGTTTTTTAATCTAATAAGACAAAATATCACATCTAACTCATAATCATTACATTCTTTCTCTCACAAAAAAATTAAAAAATGCCAAAAATCCTTCTCAAACCAGGCTTTTTAGCCTTAGGCTAAAACAGCCAAAAAAGTAAAAAAGCCAACCCACTTTCCAAACGAAACCAAATTGACCTGAAAAAAGTAGTGCACTTTTACCCAGGTGGTTCTTTGAGAGAAGAATCTTACTGATGCATAAATGTGCTATACATTATGAATAGCTAATAAGTTCGCTTGGTAGCCAGAGTCTATTACAGGGACGTTGAGCGAGAAGCTTTGGCTTGTAGATGTAACAAAATTGGGGTGTTCTGACAAGTATGTATTGGCTTGTAGATTGGTATGCAAGGATGCAAATCATACAAGACAACCTATACATTCCTTTATTGAAAATAGTTTCTTCTTTGGTTCTTGTCACAGATGCATCGTTTAAATTAGGATTTACTAAGTATCATACCATAGGAATGGATCATATATGATTTTAGTGGAAAAGAAATTTAAGTTTGTTTTGGAGCCCGCTTGGTCAAGTATTGACTTCTAACCTTAACTTTTTCAACAAAGCTCATTTGGATTTGATTATTGTCAAGTTCTTTCGTCAATTTCGCATTTTTTGGGGATAGGCTCTATGATTGCCTTTTGTGGACGATTGAGGGCTAGCGGGCTAGTTGTGGGAAACCCTTTGGGGAAGTACAGTAGGTGCTCAGACGATGGAGGACCAGATGCCGATTGCAAGGCTTGCAAAAGTGGTCGGGTCTGCTCCTCAAGTATGAGATGGTACAAAACACACCACATGTCTTTGTCATGGTCTGAAGTTGTCTTATGGATCTTTCTCAATCTCTAAGACTGGTTAAGGTGCAAGTCCCCTGAGGAAGGGAAACAAAGACAAACCACATATCTTTGGAGGTCGTCACTTGCTGGCCCATGGTGGTGTCGCCAACCCTGAGGGGTCCTTAGGCCTTGCTCTTGTCCTAGGCTGGTGTGAGAGCATCATAGTGCTTTTTTGAGGTAATTAGAGATAACTTTGGAGATGAAGGATTGATGCATAGGAGAAACACACTCGAGTGACACTGTCAAAACCAGAGTATTGAGCATGTCATCATGAGCAAGAGAGTGACGTGCTTGAGCACAGGGCTAACGGGGTGCTTCAAGTGTGTCCAGGAGAGCTGACAAGAATAGAGGTCTCTGGCATCTAGGCTCTAGCTTAGGGCACCATATATGTTAGCTTCGGCTGCCGCCTTGACACCAAATAGCATACGAAGATATGTGTGAGGCAGACACATGGATCCAAAGTCGATGAAGATAGTGATGTGCCGATAATGTGGCATGCCATGTTCTAGATCTAGACACGTGTACCCACACCTCCTAATATGAGGAGCTCAAACCTTTCTATGCCGCGAAACTGCAATGTCACACCTTAGCTAGCTTAGCCTAACACACCCGGCTGTTGCTTATTTTCATGGTACACAGGCCTCGGGTTTCACTACGGATCATTGTGAGTAAATGTTGGCTGCATAATTACATTTTATCAACACTCAACTGAAAATTCTTCTAATAGTTTTATGTTGAAGTTATACCAAACAGTGATTTACTTCATTTTGAGATGTTCATAAGCCATTGCAATATCTATGTAACTGCTTATCAAATTGTTGCTGCAGCTAATTTTTGTGGAAGTCAAGAGTTAATTGTTGGTGGTGTTGATGTTTTTCCAGGTGCTTGTTGGGCATTTTCAGCTACAGGAGCAATAGAAGGCATTAATAAAATTGTTACTGGATCTCTTGTCAGCCTCTCTGAACAAGAGTTGGTTGATTGTGACAGATCTTACAATAGCGGATGCGAGGGCGGGCTCATGGATTATGCATATCAATTTGTTGTACAAAATCATGGGATTGACACTGAGGAAGATTACCCCTATCAAGGTGCGGGAAGGTCATGCAACAAGGAAAAGGTAGAAAACTTCAACATTTGAAATATTACTGAGAGTTTAAATTCATTCTCTATTATGTTAAATTTGTGCCTATTTACAATGCCAGCTAAAACGACATGTTGTAACCATTGATGGTTATACTGATGTTCCCCCAAACAACGAGAAACGCCTACTACAGGCTGTGGCAACTCAACCTGTAAGTGTAGGTGTATGTGGCAGTGAGAGAGGATTTCAATTGTACTCCAAGGTTGGTTGGTCCTTGTATTGAATTTCAATATCGTCGTATTTTTATCTTAAATTTAAAAAATGTTTGGATTTGATCTTTAGATAATTACTGTAACAGGGGATATTTACCGGTCCCTGCTCAACTGCCCTTGATCATGCGGTACTAATTGTTGGATATGGTTCGGAAAACGGAGTTGATTACTGGATCCTTAAGAATTCTTGGGGATCACATTGGGGAACGAACGGTTATATGCAGATGCTACGAAACAGCGGGAATTCTCAAGGAGTTTGTGGGATCAATACACTAGCTTCATACCCGGTTAAGACTAACCCAAATCCACCACCCCCACCTACCCCCGGTCCAACTAAATGTAATATTTTCACCAGTTGTTCGCAAGGTGAAACCTGCTGCTGTGCATCACGAGTTCTTGGCGTATGCTTTTCTTGGAAATGTTGTGAGTTGGATTCTGCAGTGTGTTGCAAGGACCACCGTCACTGTTGCCCTCACGATTATCCGATTTGTGATACTCGAAGGAAGCAGTGCCTCAAGGTTTGCAATGAGTTCTTCCATTGCTTTTTTTCTGTTCCTTTTTCTTTCTTCACCAAAAAATAAATAATATTAAGCATACTATAATATGATTGCAGCAAACTGGCAATGGTACGATGGTGAAAGGGCTCGAGAAGAAAGGCTTTTTTGGTAGGTCAGATGGATGGGGTTCGCTTTTTCGGGTTTGGAATATGTAGAAGTGCTGCCATCTGCAACAGTGAGTGAATTTTTTTTTTGAACCATACTCCTGTTACCAGTTGTATGGTCTGCCACAGAAAGAAATGACCCAGGATTCAAGCATGGAAGTACTTATTATTTTTATTATTGTAATTTATGGTTCAATGATACTATTGAAAAAATACCTGATTCTGGTGTAATTTTGCTTTTCTAGCGTGAATATATAAATGATACTAAATTCTGCATAAACAAGCATTGGTATTTTGTAGTATTTCAAACTATAGTAGTAGAAATTTCTACTTCAATTTCGCAAGTAATATGCTTGAACTCTTCTTATATTACAATTTGGATCATCGACATGGGACCATGGTAGACTCCATGAGCCTCTCAAATTCTCTTAAATTCAGATTTAGATTCATTTTTGTATTCACAACTTTGAGAACAGATACTGCAACTTTTTGTGAGCACAAAGTTGATCCAATGATCGGTCAATGAGTTAATGAGAGCCTTTTGAGGCCTTAAAACTCATGTTCTTCCATTCATAGTATTGACTCGGCTATTTTAAACTTACTGAGCTGAAAAGGTATGTCTAATGGAGTTCGAAAAACAAAAATGAAAATAAGCTTTGCCAGCTCAATTATAAGCAGACTTGTTTGGTGAAATTGATCACATAAGCCAATGAAGGCCTCAAATTTATTTTCATAGGGCTACAAATTGCAGAGCAGCTCAAATCCTCCACGAGTACTAGGCATATTTGAGATGTGGGTTGATTTTTTAACTATTTGAGTTTGAGATTAAAAAGTCTCATTTGGAATAAGCTTTTTAATTTTTTTGACTTTTGTGAGAGAAAAAATAAAATAATTGTGATTTAGATGTAACGTTTTGTTTTATTAGGCTAAAAAGTCTACTTTGTCTTTTTGTAACTATTTTAGCCAAAAAGCATTCGTTTAGGATGTAGATTAGCTTTTTAACTTTTTGGATAAAAATCTCGTTTGGGATATAGACTTTTTGACTTTCTTGGCTTTTATGAGAGAAAAAATGAAATGATTATTATTTGAATGTGACATTTTGTCTAGCTAAAAAGCCTATTTTGTCCTTTTGTGACTATTTTAACTAAAAAGTCTTGTGCCAAACAAAGGCTAAATGGGAATAAATAACTAATAGTTTCTACACTGCATTATGAAACATCAGCTAAAAACCAATAGCTTATCTTCTCCCTGGAAGCCTGAAACCTTATTATACCCACTGAAACTGCTTGAGCCCAAACAGCACCCAACAGAGTCTGTTGACAACAAAGTTTAAACTAAGCGTGTAGCCTTGTAAAATCCAATCAATCAGGATCACTATCTCCATTCCTATTTTAAAGAAAAACAGATGATATTCATTTTCCAGTGTCATGAAATAAACATCAGCCTTACATAGATCCATGAAGAGCAACCTCCAGCTAAGGCAGAAGAACAAATTTAAGTGCGTGAATAGCTGAAGAAAAAAGCACTCAGTGCCAGAATTTACTGTACAATTATTGTTACCCCTAAAATTGGGTATAACGAACCTTCTGGATCCACTAGACCATCAAGCCCCCAGAAAACATGGGTGGAATCCCTAAATAAAAAATATACCCAAACTTCTAAACGAAACTATAAAAAGCAATCAATTAAAATTACTAGCATGATTCATGAATTTTTCACCATATAAAAAAGGAGAAGAAGTAATGCCTTAATTTTTTTATTTTAGTTTTAAAAAATGTAAGAACACCAAGCATAAGCCACTTCAGACAATTTAAAAAAATTAAAATTAAGAGCTAACACCACAACCTACCGTTAATTTGGACCTCAAGTGAACTGCTGAAATAACAAACTTGAAAATATATCTTGCAGAAATCACAATCTGTTCAATGCATGCCTTTTCAAAGCTAGTTCCACACTTCTCAAACTCAATTCAACCGACCAACAATGCCATGTTTGATGGAACCTACACAAAATCTAGTTGTAGACATGTCAAATTAAATTTGCCCACAGCAAAGTGATACAACACGGACATGAGAAGCATCATGAGTTTATGAATCAAATCTGGGGCTAAATTTGGTGCAAGAAGAAAGAAAGACAGGAGGGGTGTGCATAATCTTTCAAGGAGACTATTTGTTCTGCAAATGCTCTTCTTGTTTTGAACATGCTCAAATTTCTTTCCTTTTATAGTACAGGGCTCTGCCTTCTAGTACCATGTGATAACCAAGTGATACCTCCCTATTAATAAATTTTTAAATAGATTGTTAGAACAATTCCAAGTGAGCTAAAAGTTGGGACTATTAACTACTGAAATAAATTTACAACGTAAATGTGAAGACTATGAAATTGCACTCTGATGGCTCCTATGTGAGAACTATTGAATTACCAGCAAGTAAAACCTACATTTTTGAGACTAGGGAAAGTTATTACCTCATCAACTATCCAATTAATCATGTGATAACTCTATGTAAGATTCATACTTTCTCAAACAACAAGACCTATACATCAATCTGGTATCATACCTAATGAGCATATGTTTTGCAGAGACAGGATTTGCGTTGATAGTTTTTAACCATGTGTAGTATCATGTTTCATGCCTAATAAAACCAAAAACTAAGATACTACTATGTGGTGTGCCAGTATCTTTTTTCCTAATGGGTAATGTATGTCCATCGCAACTGCCCAAAAGGTGAAAGTCATGCAAGATTTCCATTAACCCACTTCTAAGGTAGTGCAACATTTAATAGTAGTGTAGGATAGGTATATAGGAAGAGTAATTTGATTGTGGTGATTCAAACACCAGCACCCTATTCTCCCAAAATTTTCCTAATATTGCAACTTCAATGCATGCGAACTAGTAAACCCTATTTGATTTCTTCAACACCGGAATGGGTTTACAACAAATTTACACACTATGAGAAAGTAATATTAGTGGCATATACATACAAGCATCTGATGATATTGCAACCCATTTGGACATGTAAAATAGAACTAAAAAATAGAGAAGTAAACCAAATTAAAGCATCAAAATTTACAATTCACAAATCATTGTAGTGTGAGAGATACACAAAGAAAGAGTAAGCATTCAATACCTATCATTTTCTCATTATACTCTACCTCTTCATTCTCTTTACTATTCAATCACCAAGGAGACACACATATTCCCCCCTCTCATCCCTCGTTTGGTCACGAAGACGGAAACACATCTTTCACTGCAGACGCTGCAGTCAAGTAATTAAGCGTATTCCTCAAAGTCTCTTTCTCTCTCTTCAATCTGATCGATGTATCCTCCAATTCAAGCAACGCCTGCTGCTCTCTCGGCGCGCCTTCGAAAGTACTCCCAACGAAGAACGAAAATGGAGTCGGAAACAAATTCCTGCGCAAGTCCTGAACTTCCTTCTCAGGCTTCCCATTCAATCGATTGGACAATCGAATCACATCTTTCATATAAGTCTCCACCTCATTGGCCAGAGCATCCAAATCCTCCTCGCCGTCGCCGGAGGGCCGGTCCTCCAACCACGCCACCTCCGCCACCAAATACGGCTTAGTCCGAACCAGTCTAGTGACTCGGAACCGCTCCTGACCTTTACAAATCAAAAAGAAGCGATCGTCGACGAGCCTCTCGTGCTTGACGACCTCGCCGACGCAGCCTACGTCGGTGGTTCCGGTGGCGGTGTCGGAGTATATAACGCCGAATCGGAGATCGGTCTGGAGGAGAGTGTGCATCATCATACGGTACCGGAATTCGAAGATTTGTAAGGGGAGGATTGCGCCGGGGAAGAGCACCAGAGGGAGAGGGAAGAGAGGGAGCTCGATTACGTCGTCGGATTTGGGGGAGCCGGTGTGGTGCTTCTCGGAGAAGGAGGAGGCGGAGCAGCGGAGGAAATTAGGTTTCCGGCGGCGGTGGTGGCGGAGCAGAGAGGGTGTTGAGGAGAGAGATCTAGGTGTAGGGTTTAAGGAATTGGGGTTTAAGTAGGGTTTGGGAGTGAAAGATGAAGAAGATGGAGAAGGGAGGAGTTGAGGAAGAGCCATTAGAGTAGAAAGAGAAAGAGAGAGAGAGATATTAGAGAGAGAAAGTGGGCATTGTGGAAAGAGAAGAATGAGAATCGTAGTTCATTCCCATAAATCTGGTGGTTTAGAGGGATGAGTGAGAGATATGCTGTGGATAATACAGAGAGAGAGAGAGAGAAAGAAGGGTGTTTGAGTGATTGTGGTGTACAAGTTCACACGTGGAAATGTTTGTCTGTTGAGACTTATGTGGCACGTGCTTACAATTCCATTATTCCACTGTTTGGGTGGTGTTCATTGTCCCCCATGCTCACTTTCAAGTTTCCATCATCTTCATTATATATATATATATATAGTTCAATTCTTGTTTTTTTCTTCTTTGTTGTGGTGAAGCTCTTTGAGTTTATTTATTTATTATTTTTTTTCATCAGCAAAAAAGTTTGTGGTGGAGTTGTCTTGCTCAAATTTGATTTGATTATGTGTAAAGAAATTGTAATCCCGTGAAAAAAGATTTGGACTTTTTTCCTCTCAAAAGCGACCAGTTTCTGGATATATAGTTAGAGCAAGGATCCTCTAGAGTGATTTTTCCTTAAAGTTTTCTAGAGTGCTACATTGTGTGGTTGAGATTTACTGGCAAGTCACATCAATTTTCATCAGCAAAAAAGTTTGTGGTGGAGTTGTCTTGCTCAAATTTGATTTGATTATGTGTAAAGAAATTGTAATCCCGTGAAAAAAGATTTGGACTTTTTTCCTCTCAAAAGCGACCAGTCTGAGCTTTGCCCATCTAATGTTCTGGATATATAGTTAGGCTATCTTGTGATCGGGCTGGGCTTTGCCCAACTAATTTTCTGGATATGTAAGATAGTTTCAGGCTAAAGTATTTTAACTATGAATTCGCTTTTAAATCATCAAACACATTATTTTATGACTACATTTACCTGTTAAATTAAATTCAATGGGATTATGAGTACAGTAAGATTACTAAAAGAAATTATTAGTGATAGTATTATGTTCAAGTTGTAAAATAAATTGAGTTTGTTTGTAATAATATTAATTGATTGAGATTAAATTATAAAATTATGTAAAAACACTCATTATATAAAATGTGATTTTTTTTTAAAGTGAATGATAATATAATTTTTTCACATCTAATCTCATTACTAGTAAATCCAAGTCCTATGGAATAGCTAATCCTTTCCTTGGAATGATTTTATATTCAATATTACTTTTTTCAAATGAGTAATAATGATATACACCCCAAAAGTTTTACCAATTTTTTTTTACTAAATGTCTTACATAGGTATGGGACTCACATAGGACCCACATGGTGTGAATTCCACACAATCCAATTTTCTCCTCTTAAACCCATAAACAAACATGGCTATATGTGAAAACCATAGATCTTAGGGAACTAAAATGAATAACCCAATTGATTATGACTTACAGTTCAAATTTAAGACATAATCGCAAGTTTAATTCCGTCTTTGATTGATACAGAGAGATTCACAATTCTAAGATCATTTACCGTTGTCATCGCCGAAAAATGACGGTTCGCCGTTTTGCAAACCTCAGATCTTAGATCCTTCACTCTCTCTCTCTTTGGTTCTAACGATTCGTGTTCTCTGTGTGTGTGTCACTCATCATTTATACTCCATCTCTCTCTCTCTTTCTTCTTCTTCTTCTTCTCATGATGTTCTGTTTTCGAACTCTGACTCCCTATCTCTCTCTTTTCTTCTCATGATGCTCTGTTCTTCAGACAATAAAATTTTACTCTACTTCATGATCCAACCCTCTCTTGTAAAGCCATCCTCACAATGTGTTTCAGAGTAAAATTTACTTTGATTCAAAATAAAATTTTACTATCGTTAAGCAGATTAGCATGTCGTTAATCAAAGTAAAATTTAACTGTTACAAAAAAAAAAAAGAGAGTATATAATGAACGAATAAGAGTCAAATTTTGCTTTTAGATCTATGAATAAATAGACAAAAAAACTCTTGATTTGTCATTGTAATCTCTAGATTTCTTTTTTTATTTTATTTTATCAAATCTAAGTTCATTTAACGCAGATCTGAAGTTACTGGTCTCTAATATGAGTTCGTAAGTATTAAATCTGAGATGGTGGTGGTTTGATGGTAAAAATGGTGGTCACTAGTCGACGGTGAGGATAAGCGATGCCAACAGATGATGAAGATAGTGGAAGCGATGACCAACTATCAAGTTGGTGAAAAGAGAGAGTACTGTAAAAGAAATAGAAGAAAGAGAAGATATAATGATCAAATAAAATATTTAAATAATAAATTTTCTCCTTTATATGAAACTTTATAATTATAAGGGGATTTTGAAAGTGCTAATTTTTTTTTTTTTGGGACCTTTTAATAAGAAAAGGAAGCTAAGAGGCGTTTTTGAATAAAACAATACCTGAAGGTTCACAAATAGCTGAATATTTATTCCAGAAGGGGTTATTCGATCTAATCATATCATGTAATCCTTTAAAAAGCATTCTGAGTAAGTTATTTCAGCTCCACCCTTTCTTTCCTTTGAATCAAAATTCAATCAAGTAGAGTATTAAGTTTAATCGTTTTATTTGTAATTAGTTTATTGGAATTAAAGTCAAAATCAGAAGAATGGGTTTTTTTTTTTTGGTGATACCACAAGTGAAAAACAAGTCATAACCAACTTTATATATATATATATATATGTATATATACTAATATTTCTTATTATTAATATTACTGATTAGTAATCAGGAAATCTTCATAAATGGGTGAATTCTTCCCTTTGTGAAAATAGGCAAATAAAACGAATTTCATTTTCCTTTCTGTACGGGAAGCAAATATTCGTTGCTGTCCGTACTCTTTGTGTCCAAGCTTTGCTTCACTCCGAATAAACTGATAACACAACGACGTTGAGCTGCCCGGCAGGTGTGATGTCGAAAAGCCCTTCCGACGATCAAGTTAGCACCCTTTTAAAGAGAGAAAGGAAGGGAAAAGACAAAAGAGAGATAGAGCTCTAGGTCGCCAGACATCCAGACCTCTTGTATGGAGGCGTCACTCAGTTTATATAGCCCCTGCGCGCGCTGCTCTGCTCGTTTTTTCCTGGACGCGTGGTTGTACTGCCCTTTTTATTCGTTACACGCGTACCCGTCAATACCGCCAAACAGCATTAGCCAAACTGTCAAACGGTATTAAAGCATACCATTGGCGGGTTTCTCTTCTCGTACTCCAATTGGACCACCTGCCAATTTCTACCCAGCTAGGCATAGCAAGGTTAGTTCCAGCCTCAATTCCGGTCGACCTTCAAGGTCAAGCTCAATAACTAGCTTGGTTTACCCAACTCCGTTTGTTCCTACTGACCTTGCTCGGCCTTGGACCATTGCTTCACCTAGCTCGGCTTAGCCCGGTCCAACTTCCGGACCTTGGGCTAACTCAGCCACATAATCTAGAACCTCGGCCAAACTGCCCTCAGCTATGCTAACTCGGTCGCGTAATCCAACGGCAAGGCCCAAGTCACAACTAGCTCAACTCGTTTGCTCGACGCAAACTCCCCTCTCAATTGCCCTTTAATTCCGTCTGCATTCGCGTGACTGGAATTACATTACTAGGTCGGGCTAGACTCTTTACTCGGTGGTTCACTTTGCTCGGTCGTTGGTCTTGAATCCCTTCTGTTGTAACATGAATGAGATTACTCAACTTCAGCTCAGTATAAGAACTTCAAAGTTGGCGAGCAAAGTCAGGTCGGCAGCTTGCTTCTTGGTGAGTGTAATCAACTCAGCAACTTCCTTGGCAAGCAAAATCAGCTCGATAAGGAACTTCTAATGTTGCGAGCAACGTCAGCTCGGCGACTTACATTTTGGCGAGCAAAATCAGTACAGCAAGGAACTCCAAGGTTTGCGAGCAAGGTTAGCTCGGCAACTTGCATCTTGGTGAGCAAAATCAGCTTGGCAAGGAACTCCCAGGTCGGTGAGCTAGGTCGGCAAGCAAGGTCAGCTCGGCAACTTGCTTCTTGGCGAGCAAAATCAACTTGAGAAGGAACTCCAAGGTTGGCGAGCAAGGTCAGCTCGGCACCTTGCATCTTGGAGAGCAAAATCAGCTCGACAAGGAACTTTAAGGTCGGCAAGCAAGGTCAGCTCGACAACTTGCTTCTTGGCAAGCAAAATCAGCTCAGCACCTTGCATCTTGGTGAGCAAAATTAGATCGGCAAGGAACTCCAAGGTTAGTGAGCAAGGTCAGCTCGGTACCTTGCATCTTGGCGAGCAAAATCAGCTTGGCAAGGAACTCCAAGGTTGGCAAGCAAGGTCAGCTCGACACCTTGCATCTTGGAGAACAAAATCAGCATGGCAAGGAACTCCAAGGTTGCGAGCAAGGTCAGCTCGGCACCTTGCATCTTGGAGAGCAAAATCAGCTCTGTAAGGGAATCCAAGGTTGCGAGCAAGGTCATCTCGGCACCTTGCATCTTGGCGAGCAAAATCAGTTCGGCAAAAAACTCCAAGGTTGGCGAGCAAGGTCAGCTCGGCACCTTGCATCTTGGTGAGTAAATTAAGCTCGGCAAAAAACTCCAAGGTTGGCGAGTAAGGTCAGCTCGGCACCTTGCATCTTGGCGAACAAAATCAGCTTGGCAATGAACTCCAAGGTTGGCGAGCAAGGTCATCTTGGCACCTTGCATCTTGGCGAGCAAAATCAGCTCGGTAAGGAACACCAAGGTTGGCAAGCAAGGTCAGCTCGGCCACTTGCTTCTTGGCGAGCAAAATCTGCTCGAAAAGGGACTTCAAAGTTGGCGAGAAAGGTCAGCTCGGCCATTTGCTTTTTGGTGAGCAAAATCAGCTCGGCAAGGAACTCCAAGGTTGGCGAGCAAGGTCAGCTCGGCCACTTGCTTCTTGGCGAGCAAAATCCGTTCGGTAGGGGACTTCAAAGTTGGCGAGCAAGGTCAGCTCGACCACTTGCTTTTGGCGAGCAAAATCCGCTCGCCAAAGAACTTCAAAGTTGGCGAGCAAGGTCAGCTCAGCCACTTGCTTCTTGACAAGCAAAATCCGCTTGGCAGGGGACTTCAAAGTTGGCGAGCAAGGTCAGCTCGACCACTTGCTTCTTGGTGAGCAAAATCCACATGGCAAGAAACTTCAAAGTTGGCGAGCAAGGTCGGCGAGGCAACTTCCTTCTTGGCAAGCAAAATTCGCTTGGCAAGGAACTTCAAAGTTGGCGAGCAAGGTCAGTTCGGTAACTTCCTTCTTGGCGAGCAAAATCTACTCGGCAAGGAACTTCAAATTTGGCGAGTAAGGCTAGCTCAGCAAGGAACTTCAAAGTTATGAGCAAAGTCAGCGCGGCAACTTGCTTCTTGGCGAGCAAAATCCGCTCGTCAAGGAATTCTAAATTTGATCAAAACCATCAACAAATCTCTCGTCGAGCAAAATCCGCCCAGTAAGGAATTCCAAAGTTGAACAAAATACCAACTTTCATCTTGCCATGCAAAATCAGCCCGAGAAAGAATTCTGATCTTTCCATCAAAATGATTGTCAATTGCCCTTTTTCCTTGGCCTTCTTACTGACGTCTTCCAAAACTGAACTCCCTATATCTTTTTCATGGTTGTTTGCACGGCCATCCTCTACGCGTTCCACCAGCGAGCATGCTTCTCCAACATTTCCTTTAGGTCTTTCAAACGGTTGGAGCATGAATATCCCGATGCCGTCGTCTGACGTAAGAGGTTGTAACTGTTGTCCCGCGTACGAGATGTCGCCGCCCGTGTGACGTAGTCTTCAGCTTTGAAGCTTCTTGTGACGGAGAGTAAAGAGGTGCGACGTCTATTCTGACTGCCGAAACGGTGAGAATAGGCATGGTTATTGTGGTTCCCTACTCCAGTGACGCCATTTCCCTTCATCTGGTATTTCATGGCTTCCATCTCCGTCGCCCTCTTCTTGATGATGGTATTTCCAGGTGCTGAGTGTGTGAGTCTCGCCGTCGGTGATGCTCTTCTGGGCTGACAGAGCGCCCAGAACTCCTTGCGCGCATGTCTTACGCGTCTCTAGGAAGTCCTCGTGCGGAGGTCTCCAAACCAGCCATCGTCGAAATGGCGGGTAGGCCATCTCTGTGCCGAACGGACTCTAGAGTGATGCCGTCGATGGCGGAAAGAGCGCCCAGAACTCCTTGCGCGCTTGTCTTGTACATCACTGGGAAGTCCTCGTGCAGAGGTCTCCAAACCAACCATCGTCGAAATGGCGGGTAGGTTATCTCTGTGCCGAACGGATTCTAAAGTGATGCCGTCGATGGCAGAAAGCAGAATGTCATCGTTATTCGCCATAAAAGATGATCGGAAAAGGTTGGAAGACAAGGTTTTGTCTGTCGATATTCCTACAGACGGCGCCAATTGTATTGGGAGCAAATATTCGTCGCTGTCAGTACTCCTCGTGTCCAAGCTTTACTTCACTCCGAATAACCTGAGAACAAAACAACGGTGAGCTGCCTTGCAGGTGTGATGCCGAAAAGCCCTTCCGACGATCAAGTTAGCTCCCTTTTAAAGAGAGAAAGAGAGAAAGAGAGAGAGAGAAGACAAATGAGAGATAGAGCTCTAGGTTGTCGGACATCTAGACCTCTTGTATAGAGGCCCCGCTCAGTCTATATAGCCCTTGCGCGCGTTGCTCTGCTCGTTCTTTCCTGGACACGTGGCTGTACTGCCCTCTTTATTCTTTACACGCGTACCCGTCAATACCGCCAAACAATATTGGCTAAATTGCCAAACGGTATTGAAGCATGCCATTGGCGGGTTTCTTTTCTCACATTCCAATTGGACCACCTGGCAATTTCCACCGAGCTAGGCATAGCTCCGTTAGTTCCAGCCTCAATTCCGATCGACCTTCAGGGTCAAGCTCAATAACTAGCTCGGTTTGTCTAACTCCGTTCGTTCCCGCTAATCTTGCTCGATCTTGGACCATCGCTTCACCTAGCTCGGCTTAGCCCGGTCCAACTTCCGGACTTTGTGGGCTAACTCAGCCGCATCTAGAACCTCGGCCAAACTGCTTTCAACTATGCCAACTCGGTCGCGTAATCCAACGGCAAGGCCCAAGTCACAACTAGCTCGGCTCGTTTGCTCGGCGCAAACTCCCCTCTCATAGAATATCACAGGATTATATGCTTAATTAGAAGTATTTTGTAATTTTTAATTACATAACTCCGGAATCTAGTATTCTTTTTATTATTATTATTATTTTTATTTTTTTTTAAAATAAAAATAAAAATAAGATACTAGTTAAAAACACCTTAGAAAGAACTAGAAACACATTAATATGAAAAATGTTAGACATTTTAAAAATTCTATTAAAATTTTTATCAAATGTCTCATATAAGTGTGTGACTTCCACTATGGGAGCCCCGGTTTGGCGATCATTTTGGGGCTGAAAAATCACAAAATGGCAAAATAGCCTAAATAAGTTAATAAGATAAAATATTATATCCAAACTATAAATATTACATTTTTCTCTCACAAAAGTCAAAAAAATTAAAAAACTCAAACCAAACGAGGTTAAAAAAGTCCTAACATAAAAAAGTTGGTTATATTAGCCAATGTCAAACGAAGTTTTCGATGTAAATTTGACATTTAATAAACATTTTTATAGCATTTTTAGAGGAGTTATGTTAGGGACTCTAAACAAATTGTCAAATTTTTTTATTAAATCTCTTATATAAATATAAAATTTACATAAATATAATTTGTATGAGTTTCACATTCATTTAAAAGATTTAATAAAAAATTTGATAATTTTAAAATCCATAACATTTTTCCTTTTTAGAATATCTAACACTATCCTTTTTAGAATATCTAACACCAACAATGATTTATCCCACTAAAAATATCACCACTAATAGCATTAATGCATTAAAAAAATAAAAAAAATACAACTTCAAAACTAAAATATCACATCATTAATAACGAAACCCACTGCCATCTAATTAGTGGGAGCACTAATTAGTGCTCCCAAGCATTTTTCTTCATTATTAAGGGTTTTTATTTTTTATTTTGTATAGGTTGTGGTTTTTTTTTTTTTTTAACAAAGGAATATAATTCCAAGGGATCACCTTTTAAGCTAATACACATGGGCGGCTTCACGCGTGACTTTGGCCCAGGTGGTTTTTTTTATGTGATGTGTGCTAAAAGAAAATAAAAAAAAAAGAAAAGAAAGTGGGGGTAATATAATAGAAGAAAAAGAGAGAGATATATATAGATAAAAGAAAGAAAGTGGGAACAACATGATGGCGTCGGGGAGCGTGGGGAATGGTGGAATAAAACTTCTACATGTGCAAAGCAATTCTCGTGTTTCCTTCTCTCTGCCATATCTACATGTTCTAACTTGTATCTTCTGGAGGTTAAAGCTCTGGTAAAGAAATTGTCCCTTTGATGAGGGGTTTGGTGATGGTGATGATAATGGATAGTCTTGTGAAAAGCTGGGATAGAACCCGAGAGCAGAGAGAGTGAGAGAAACTACCCGTGTGTGTGTGAATGCGCTAACCCAAAACTGCCGAGAGAGTGAGAGAACCCGAGAGCAGATGCTTTGGTGTATGGATGCAGCGCCCAATGGAGGCAGTGTGTGTGAAGCTGGAGGGTTCCACCAACGGACATGGCGATGGCGGGAACAGTGGGCGTGGCCGAGAAGGAAGTAGAAAGCTGCCTGGGCATAGCAGGTGCCTGTGCATGGTTCCATGGTGCCAGTCCAAGTCGAGGAAGAGAAGGTTTGCTGATTGGAAGGTATGTGTAGAAAATAAGCTAAATAGGTGGAGGTCCGGCGGACGGCTAAGGTGAGGTTGCCGCCCGCCGGTGAAGCGAAAAATAGTAGGTTCTAAACCTGCTCTGATACCATGTAAAAATGTATGTATTATTGATTGATTGATTACAAGATTGTTGTGTTGATGTAATTACAAGAGAAATCAACTCTCTCTTTATAGAGAGAAGCAATATACATTGGATTCCAAATGATGGGCATTACCACCGAAAGCAAAAAGAGAAAAGAGAAAGCTATACAATTGGCAATATTATATTAACACTTTTAATCCCATGTTTGATTGATGTCTGTTTTTAGTTAATGGGTTGGATTTTGATTGGGTTTTTAACTCTTCTTGTTGTTTTTGTTTTTATTGTTTTCAAGAAATACTTTTTTGATTAGGATTTTTCATGGGAGAAGTTATTATTTTTTGGAAACATAATTGACCATTGGTGTGAGTATTTCTCTGCACATGGTCATGGTGGAATTCTCAAACCCACCTGATAATTTTTGCTTTCTTATCCATGGAGTCAGTCTTGGACTCTTGGGGCTTTTTTCTTCTGTCACTTCTGTTAATTTTTTGCTTTTCTGTTATGGTAATCCAAGGGCTTAATTTGGGTGTTTTAGAGATTGTTGTTTACGTATAGGGCTGGGGACTTGTTTTAACGCCCATTAGATTAATCACCAGAGTTTTATTTATTATCAAAGTATCAATTTACAGGCACAAATTTGTGGATTCAACTTTATTAATTTAGGGTCCATTTGGCTGTCCCAATAATATGTGATGCCACTTTACAATCATTGCATATACAAATTATAAATACAACTCAAAATCTTACCTTAAAAAAGGAATGTCCAAATAGTATACATTAATGTGTGTTTGAGAAGGAAAAAATTGAATACATACCTAATCTTTAGCATATTGCACCAAGTGATTGTCTTAATACTTGAATTCATAACCTAAAAGTTATTAAGTCAAAGTTTTACCATTTAACCAATAGTCACCCCTATAACTCAAAATCTTACCTTATTTTTGAAAATTTAAATTTGGCTTTCATCTCTAGAACATGGAATTGCTAGCTCTAAATCTGAGAGATTTGAAATCTGTTATGTTCAATGCCTTTATAATTAATGCATTTTTTTTCTGACTAGTAAAAGTTCACAAATTTTGAAATAAGGGAATTTGCACAACCATATCGGTCATTATTAAGGGTTTTTATTTTTTATTTTGTATAGGTTGTGGTGGATTTCACAGCTTCATGGTGCGGACCATGCCGTTTCATCACCCCAATTCTGGTAGAGATGGCCAAGAAGATGCCTCATCTCATATTCCTCAAGGTGGATGTCGATGAATTGAAGGTAAAAATCACATGCAAGACCCTTATTTGTGTGTTTCAATTCTTATGCCAACCTGAGAATACTATTTGATCATGTTAGGATTATGGAAATGACTAGTTTGAAATTCCTGATGTAATTTCTAACAAGAAATTTCTCTGTGCAGTCTGTTGCTGAGGATTGGGCCATCGAGGCAATGCCAACTTTTGTGTTTGTTAAAGAAGGAAAAATTGTGGACCGTGTTGTGGGTGCGAAGAAAGATGAACTGCAGAACACAATAGCAAAGCACGATACTCCTGTTGCTGTTGCTTCTACCGCTGCTGCTTGACTCACGTTTGGAGGATATACGAACCTCACTACCTTTCCTAAGTCATGTTTATGAACTATGCTTTATTTATAAATAGATCTTCTAGCCCCATCTTAAACTTTGAATGCGTGTATATTACCAGTTGTTTGTGCTACTTCATCTTGATGTTGATTTATGATGCCTATGAGGTTTTGTTGGAATAATTGTATTCTTCTCGTGTAGTGCCTGTCGATGATAGATGCTTTTCAATCAAATCTGCTTCTTTAATTATTTGACTAGGTTTTATTTGAAACTCACTTGATAAGAACAAGAGAACACATGAGTATTGATGTTGAATACGGATATTAGTCTACATGCAAGCACACAAATTTACACCGCAATCATCTAAACAATCCTAGAACCCTTCAAATGTGTTATTTTTTGGTCGTGAAGAATGATCAAATATGTTATTTTTTAACTCACCATTACACAATTTATTACAGAGCCCACCTTTTGAACCCTGATACAAAGCATAGCAAGCTTTCCACTACCTAATAGCACTCATCAGATTCATATTGCCCCATCTACTAGTGAATGGTAGGTGTTGCCACCAGACCCAATTTCGTTGCTTGGCATCGGATGACCATCGACTTAGAAGTGTCGGGTTTTCGTCTTCTTTCTGCTTCAAATTTTACCATAGCATAAAATCTAATTACAGTGGGAAGTTTTTTGGATTCTTCTCCTTTTGTGGTTCCTTTCATCATTTTGTTCTTTTCACCAGTGAGATCTTTGATGCATCCCCGCCTAGTTCTTCAAAAATCACCAACAAATTTTGTGTCGGGTTCAACCAAGATCTGGGAACATGATACCTGATAAAACCCCAAAATTCCAAAAGAAATGATCAGAATATAGTTAATATCATTAACCGAGTTTATATTCAATTGCAACTTGTCAATACCATCTCTGAGTTGGTTCGCCGCAACCAAGCTGGCAGTTAGGGGCTCGGTATGTCCCAGCATAATTGCAAGCCCTACAGTTGCCATTCGCATAAATCATCCAATATCTGCCTATGCTTTGTCCATTGATCCATACTTGACCCTTTCCCATACTTCGCATGTCCAAGGCTAACGGCTCATTTCCATCCGGAGCATTGAAATAAGCCTGAAAATACCAAACCAACATAACTTTCGATTATTGAACTAATTTATGTTAGAACTTCTCTATCATTTTCTCCTTTTCTTACCTTGTACCAAGTCAAATGTTTCTGGCTTTGGGCGACTAGCGACCCCTGAACCCACTCAGCCAATGAGACTCCATTTGGAGATACCAAATTCATTGCTTCTCCTTTCAGGCCAACCTGTTTTATGAGCGTGTAAGAGTACTAGAAATTCTAAAATCAATGAAATTGCGAAATATGTAGAGAGGTTATTCGACCTTGTAAGTCCATTTCTGCCACGATAAGTCCCTCTTTCCTTGGTTTAGGCCATTTAGTGACACTGGCCCTAAGATTCCTGCATTCCACATTTCGTAGTGCACCCCATTGTTCTACAACAACAAACACCGAAAGTTTTTAGTCAGTAACTAAAATTACTTACTCGGTTAATAATTTGAAGCACAAATATAAAGATTAGATTAAGGTTCTTCAAGATGCCCCCCCCCCCCCCCAAAAAATAAATAAATAAATAAATAAAAATAATACAAGGAATTTAAAATAAAATTAAAAAAAAACTAACCGGCAATCCAACAGCCACGCTGAGTAGTCCTATTCTATTCATTCCAGCCTGCAGATTGACTGGTCCGGTAAATGTGAATCTCATGGCCTCCCTAGTCCCGTGGGCTGAACCTGTACTTACTCGTAAATTCAATGTCATCGACATTGTACTATTTTGTGATGGATGAGAGAGGAGGGGTTTAATGCGAAAATTAAATAGCACATGTCTGTAAAAAATCTATCAAATTTTTCTTGAGGTAGTCTATTCAAATCATACCTGAAAACTGTCCATTTATAAAGACGTGCACTGCGTGGCCTCTTGAGTGCACGATGAGAGTGGGCTTTTGTCCTCCTCGCAGAAACGATTCTGATGAACTGATATCAACACTGGAGAAGAGAGAAAATGGGAAAAGTCAGAATGCATGTAGTGAAGGTGTTTATGTCAGATAGTTCTTAAATTAGGACACTAGTTATGCACCACAAATAATCCGATAAGCATGCAAAATACCTTGTTATGTACCACAAATAATCGCTGCTATCTCTAGTGACATTTATCTGCTCCAACAGTCCAACCGCTGTCATTGTCGGACTGTCCTCCAAAGAAGAAATTTCTTCATTGTAAATCTCCCAAGAAAACAACATAGAATTGGTTGGCAACATTTTCAGCGATGAAGTTGGAGCTCCAACCTTAACGATCAAAGGACAACAACACGAGAAACTTCATTGTTAGAGAAACTAACAAAAGACACTATCCCAAAGTACCATAAGATGGTATTGACAGAGGATATAAATTGGTCATGGACTGTGTCACTTACTTTTGCAGTGTTAAAGGCTACATTCCTGCAATCTGGGAGGATGCTGATGGACCACGGTGGCAAATCATAATGCATGTTATTGAACATAACACTCGCTGCAGACTTGCTATCGAAGTTTGAGAGGAACGCTGCACAATTTCCACTTCCCGCAGAAAACACGTGAGCCTAGAAAATGGTGATAGTTGAGTTAATGATCATTAAGGACGGTTAGTTCATCTTAGAAACTGAGTTTAGAAGAGACTGACCTGTTGGGAGCTTCCAAATGTAGTAACCATAGGATCGGATGAAACTAAGGCCTGTTCACATAGCTTAATAGCCTTATGGAGCTCTTTCAAATGGCTGTATTTAGGGTCCCTGATTAAACCTGAAAGCGACAAGGAAGTTTGTTAAACCTTTTAGAATTTAGAAGTTTATGTGATATACTAAACCTGTTTTGAGTCTCTCACCATATTCATCAATAGGAGCATCGTAGTCGTAACTGGTTGTGATGAAAGGTCCTCCAGCAGTGCGCCCAAAGTTTGTTCCTCCATGGTACTATCAGAAACAGTCAATTGCATATATCGAACTAAGCTTTGATACTGTTATGTTAATGGATGAGTTGAAACTTCATTTTTTTTTTTTGTGTGCGTCTGTGGTAACTAAGATGAGTTGAAACTTCATTGGTGACTAACCATGTAATAGTTAATGAATGAGCCGCCTTTTTGTATGAATCGAGAAACTGCAAATGCCAAGTCTTGAACAGGTCTCTGGTGAATTGTGCCCCCAAATTCTGTGAACCTTGTTATTGCAGCAAAAAAAAAAAATTGAACGGAGTGAGAGTTAAAAAATTATATGCCACAGATTCAACGTTGAAGAAGTGTATGTAAAGGTAATATTTACCAGCCACTCCAAGCCTCAGTCCACATGGTGGGCTTGTAAGGTTTGTTTGGAGTAAATGCATCACAGTAAAAACCGTTGCACGCATTTATCTGTTGCCAAGATAGGGAAGAAAAAAAAGTTGAATTTCTTTTAACTGAAACTAAATTGAGTTCACGAAACAAGAACGACTTGCATTATATTTGGATCTTGGATTCGTCGAAGGAAAAGGAAATTTACTTTTCATTTTATATGGTTACACAACCAAACAAAAGAATTTTAGTTATCTTCACATTATCTTTTCCATTTCCTTTTCGTTCCTCTTGACAAATACAAGGTCCCTCCTAACATAGAATTAGTGGATTTGGATTTTCAAATTCAACAAATGGCAACAAATTTAGCAGGATTTTGATATTTGGAGTAAATATGAGACAATCTAGGAAACAGGGTGGCATAAAACTACTAACTGATGCATGTAATCAAGAAATGAACCAATGTAAAAAGATCTGATGATTATAAACTTCAGAGAAATAACTGACCACAGGGTCAGGGGCATCATCTTCCTTGCACATCACCCATGGGACTCCTGTACCCAATCCAACCGCCATACTAGCAGCCCAGTTCATGTACGCTTTCCCTGGAGCTCCAAGAGCCTTTGTTTCTGCCCCGTATTCATTCTCAATCTACACACAAGATGAAATTGCAATCGATATCTACATTTGTAGTAAATTATCCAATAATTCTTTTTTATTTTATCCTTTTATTGGAGAAATTGACATTGAAGCTAAGAGGTTCAATTATGGCACTTTGATTTACTCATACCTGAGATAGGATGATGGGTCCGCCCTGGGACTCATACAGGTTTTCACCCTTCATCATCTGAACAATTTTCTGGGTGAACCCTTGCATTGCTGCCTTCAAATCAAGAAATAGCAAATAAATAAATAAATAAATAAATAAATTACAACATTCTAACTTCCAACCCCCAACAAAACCCAGAGAGAGAAAAAGAAAGCAGAAACGAACATAAGATGGTAGTTCTGTAAATAATGTCTTCTTCTTTTTTCTTGTTTTTTTTTTTTTTCTTTTTTTTTTTTTTTTTTTTTTTTTTTTTTTTTTTTTTTTTGAAATCTTAGGAAATGGATGGAATGAGAAACCTTGAAAGGCTCATTATCGGTTCTGAAGCTGATGCCAGGAACATACTTCAACCATACTGGAAACCCTCTGCACAAATCAAGCACTCATCAATGGAATTTTTAAAAAAATAAAAAACCAGAAATAAGAAGTACAAAAAAAAAAAAGCCCATAATCAAGAATTCACCATGTAATTGAAATGGAACATGAAAAGGCACATTGATGATGATTGATCTACTAAAATATATTTTTTTAAATAAAGTAATTACCCAAAATTCCACTCTCCACAAATATAAGGTCCAATACGGAGATGAACATAGAGCCCAAATTTCTGAACTGTCTTTATGAACCGTACAAGATCAAATCTTCCCTCAAAATTGTACTGAAACAAAAATCATTTTCAGTGAAAATAATTGAACTGAAAACAGAGTAATTAAAGTAAAACGGAGTGAGAAAAATGGAGATCTAAAAACCACCCACATTGCCAGGGGAAGGTTCATGAACATTCCAAAACACATATGTATCTATCACATCTAATCCTCCATTTTTAGCCTTCTGTACAAGATCTTCCCACATCTGCAACAATACCCATTTCGCCACATCATCATCAATATATATATCTGCAATATTAACAAAAATGAGCCAAAAAAAATTAAAAAGTTTACTTCAGGGGTGCTTCTGGGATAATGTATGGAGCCAGAGATGAGGATTCTGCGATGCCCATCTATGATGATGGCCTTGTTATCGTAGGTCACGCTACACTGGATCAGCTGAGTACCCACCATTAGTAAAGCTATGCTCAACAGGGTGAACAACTTGGAGACTGAGTTAGTCTCCATTTTCTCTCTCCTCTGTTTCTCTGTCTTCTTCTGAACTGGGTTTGAAGTTTGGAAGAGAGAAAAAGAATGGAGGAATATGTGGAGGAAGAGAGAGACAGAGAGCAGCTGTTGATCTACTGCCACTACTCTGCAAATACAGCAATAACAACCATGTTTATTTGGATTCTTCTTCTCCTTGTTGCATTATTCATCAGCTTATTATCTCTCACTAATATAATACTTGGTACTCTTAACACTGATTAGTGTGGTGTCAAATAAACAAATAAATAAATAAAAAGAAAAAGGAAAAAAAAAAGCAAATTAAAACATCACATCATACGTGCTGCTATTAAAATCTTGTTAAAACTTTTAAATTCGAACTCTTAAATATTATTACATAATATTTACGGGTATGTTTGATTGGAAGGATTAAAGAATGAGATTGAGATTATTAATCCGTGGGCCCAATTATCCTATGTTTGTTTTGATATTTTGGTTTAGGATTATTAATCCAACAAATTTGTAGGATTATTAGTAATGGGGTAGGGGTGGGATAGTTAATACCACACTAATTTGATAGGATTATTAATACCTCACTATGTGTTGTGAATCAAACATGACCTACAAGTATAAGTTTACAAATCAAAAATTATACTGCTATTTCAAATTTAAAAAAAAGAAGAAAAAACTAATCAAACTTTTTTTATTCTTCCGCTAATTTTGTTTTATTATTGTATTCTCATAAAATAATACTAACCACCGCCATTTTTATATACACGTAAAATATGTATTAAAATTATAATTTTTTAAATATCTTTTAATTTTTTACAAACGTTTGGTAGACCGTCGTTGCGAGAACGATGTTGAAATAGTAGTGAACCCACACTCACTGATCAACCGAAGTTGCGGTTTTAAAAACACCCACAAATAAATGTTAGAAAGTAAAATATAACAACAATTCAATAATGCAATTACATAAATGAGATATGAAAGCTCTATAATTAGTTAAGATCCTCTACAGTGTATTCTCTAGAGTGATCCATCTAAAGGCTGAGATTAAGTCACACCAAAATGACGTCGTTTTGGTGAATAATTTTAAAAGATTTTTTTTAAAAAAATTCAAATTTCAAACTCTCTTTTTTCTTTTTCAATCTCTGATCATCAATGGAGGAACCAGACTCATCCAACAAATCCCATCTTCTAATTCCAGATCCAACATCTCCGATCCACTCAACCTAAATTGAACCCATAACCAAAATCACCATAAACATTGCAGCGAAACGACGTGAACCCATTTCACGGAGAGACTGAAAATGCAAGATGGTGGTGGTGGATTTTGAGTTTGAAATGATGATGTTGAGAAGCGCAGTGGAGGTGGAGAGTGAAGGAACAGAGTGAGCAGTGGTAGGTGAAGCTAGAGCAAGGTGTTTGGCAATGGGTGCAGGGGATTTAGGGGTTGTTGTTGTGGGGATTGGGAGGTGGATTGGGGAGGAGAGAGAAGGGGTGGGAGAGGTAGAGGGGGTGGAGAGATTTGAGGGGAAGTTTGAGGCAAGAAATGTGGAGGAAGAAGGTGCAATCTGGCCATCAGTTGGGATTGATTTGGGTTGGAGTGGATGATCATGCCACACACAATCAATGGCCATCTCTCTCTCTTTCTTTCTCTGTGTTTCTGCGGAATCTGGAATTTTTTTTTTTTTTTTAAATTACTCACCAAAACTTGCATCTCAACCCTTGGAAGTTGAGTAAGACACGTGGTAGCTATTCATGAATCACTGTAGGAGATCAATGTAGGATTTCACTCTAGAGGATCCTTACACCGTCCTATGTCCCCATTGTGGCTCTTTTTCACTGAAGCTTTTAATTAGTTTGTAGTCTTTGACAAATTTACATTTTGGACCCTCCAACAACTATTCGGAAAGAGAAAGGAAAAACAATAAATAAAATAGAGGTAAAATATAATTATATATATATATATATATTTTCTTTTTAAATTTGAAAGTGTTTGTGTAAAGACACTTTTGAAACCCAAGAATGATAAATTACCAAGGAAGTTATATATTATGGTGCTGTTTAGTGTAGCTGTTAAAACAGATTATAGATTATAGCTTAACAGATTATAGATTATGACTTTAATCAGAAGCTGTTAATCTGTTTGGTATAACTGTTGGATTATAGATTTAAGTTGCTGAGTAGTGTTTGTTAAATAAGCTGTGAAGTAGTTTTTTCAATTAATTTTTATTTTTTATTATTCACTATTTGTCTACATTTTTCATAAAAAATAATAATAATATTTTATAGTCCATTTGGGTCTTTTTCTATTTTTAAAAGAATAAAAAATAAAAAAATCAAAGAGTATAACCGTGAATTAACATGTCCACAGCAGAAGCTGATAATCAGAAGCAAGGGGTGAGCAGCTTCTCAGAATCAGCTTTTTTGACTTAAAATAAGTTGTTAGAATCAGAAGCTGTTTGAAATAAGTTTAACCAAACAGTCCAAAATAACTTTTTAAAAGCCAGAAACTATAAGTTGGCTTAAAAAAGCTCCACCAAACACCCCTATGGAGTGGTGATTTACAGCCAAGTGCCACCAGTCAAAAGATATATTAATGTTATTATAAAGTTGATGAGTCATTTTTCAAACTTCTCAAAGGAAAAGATCATATTGAGCATGATATGAGATGTGATATTGAAATAATTGTGGAGAGAAAACAAAAGTTTTTTTTTTCTTCAAACATTCTTTTTTATATTATTTTTTTTATAAATTTAAAATTCAAACACAATAATATTTATTTAAAAGAGATATCACGCAATTTGAGTCGTGCTCAAAACTTGTCAATTGACCATTTTAGAATTGACTAATTGACAAAGTAGATACTTAAATATATTCTATTGTGACAAAAGCACCTCTCAAAAAAAAAAAAAAAAACAAAACAAAACTAGACTATATCAATTAATCACCGTCAAGTGGCACAATCCTAGTAGGACTTGTATTTCTCCATGCAGAGTCCTCCTGGGATTCATACTCCTAAGGATAATGCTTATCCTTTTACACCCTCCCCCACTGCTTAAACCAAGTGGGATGGTTTTCTCCATGGCCGAATCACCATTTGACCGAAGTAACACTGGCTATGCTGAGCCACAGAGAAGACCGAACTATCCTTAGCTCGGTTTTCTCCTCCAACTCCTTATCTCGGCTTTCCCCCGTTCAACCATGATGCGTTTAGACCAAGCTTCTGAGTAGCAAGCTCTGGCCGATCTAACCACCATACACCGCGACCGGATTAACCCCGAGACCGGACTAACTCTAGTTATGAACTAACCGTGAGGCCGGACTAACATCAAGTTACCTCCAGACCGGAGTAGCTTTATACCATCTAGGGCCGAAGCAATTACACCTCTCCTAAACCGGAGTAACCATACCTCTCCTGGGCCGGAGTAACTATGCTTCTTCTGGACCGGAATATCATTGCGGCCTTTTACTGAGTCCTTCACACTTTGGGCCATAAAGTCCATCTTACAGCTCGGTCCAATTCTCTCCAAAAATTACCCTCTCACTAGGTTAAAAAGTTTTGTTTGGGAAGAGTTTGTTGACTTTTTGGCTTTTTTGACTTTTTTTGTGAGAGAAGAGTATAATGATTATGGATTGGATGTGATGTTTTATTTTTTGTGAGTAAAATAGCCTATTTTGTTTTTTGTAACTAAAATAATCAAAAAAACCCCATATTCTTCTTCCCAAACGGTGCCTAAATGTGTTCTTTTATGACAAAAACACCTCTCAAAAAAATAAAATAAAATAAAACTGAACTATATACCGTCATACATTTTTATGTGAGACGTCATGGGATCAAGTGTTGGTTGATGTCCTATTGTATATTTCTTCTTTATTGTGAGAGTTCTTTGTTAGTTGTTGAGTTTTTATAATTGTTGGACTATTGTCGAATGTAATTTTCATTATATTTGTAAATAATATATTGATTGATTTTTTTTTTTAAAAAAAGAAAATTGTATATTTTTTTATTTCTAAAATTTTAAATTTATTTTACTTGTTTCAAAATATACAACTACATAATCTAAAATCAACAATATTTCACACCTAAAAAAAATACCTTAAAAATTGCTCTGGGTATGATTCGTACAATATTAATTTTGAAAAAAAAAAAAATTGTTAAAAATTTAACTTTCACATTATTTAATTTTGTTTTAAAAAATAAATTTCTCATTTAATTCAACATCCAAAAATAACTTGAAATAAAATTTTCCTCAGACTCAATTTAGTTAGATAAATAATACATGAAAGCGAAAGAAGAAAAAAAAAATTTATGTGTTTATTTAGATAAAATCTGAAAGTAATGAAAACTAAAGTTTTATGTACAACTCAAATTGTGCTTGTTTGGCATGTGAGTTTGGGTGAGGTTAGGCTATTTTAGTTGGGTGATGAGAGGGTAATTTGCAAGCAAATTGGGTCGAGTTAGGAAAGTCTTCTTTGAAAGTTGGGCCGCGTAATGGGCCGAAATAAGGGTTGGTGTAGCTCGATCTTAGGCCAAAAAGACATCTCATATTACGGATTTGGGTTGAACTATGGGCCGAGGTGTTTGGGCTTCGCAAGTTGGACCTCGTCCTTGTTAATTCGGTCGGAGACTGCTGCAGTTAGCTCGGTTTAAACAGACAAAACCGAGGTATCAGTGGGGGGAGAACCGAGCTAAAGGATAGCTCTGCAGGGCGTCATCTCAGAGTCAAGACTAACAGTGGTACATAAAAAGTATCACCGAACCGAAAAAACCTAGTTGACCGCAATGTCAGCCGAGGTAAGGATGTCAGCCGAGGTAAAAGAGGTAATATCAATGGCGAGGGCCGAGCTGTGTACAGCTTGGCAGGGTGGCATTCGATAGATTGGTTTTCGATCACACGGTCCGAATGGCAGGAGACCGAGATAAGACAGTTCGGTCAGAAATGTATAACCGAGGTAAAGGGTTCAGCCATCTCACTTAGCTTGCAGTGATGAGACTCCTAGTAGGACTCTGCTAAGGAGAGTTAGAGTCCTACTGGGATTGTGCAAACCGTCTCACTTGGTTGGTAGTGAATAGGAGTATGACTCCTAGGAGGACTATGCAAAGGAGAGTAGAGTCCTACTAGGATTGTGCAAAACCATCTCACTTGGTTGGTAGTGAATAAGATGTGTGATTCCTACGAGGACTCTCATAGGGAGAGTTGGAATCCTACTAGGCTTATGACAAAGTAAAGTCTAT